TTAGGGGTGGTGGTGTTGGGTTAGGGGGTTAGGGTTGTTCGGGGTTGGGGTTCGGGTTGTAGGTTCGGGTGGTTCGTGGTGGTTCGTGGTTAGGGGTCTGGTTCGGGGTGTCGGGTTGGTGGTTCGGGTGTGTTAGGGTTGCTGGGGTACGGTGGTTGGGTTCGTGGTTAGGTCGGTGGTGGGTTCTGGGTTCGGTGTGTTAGGGTTCGGTGGTTGTTAGGGTTGTGGGTTGGGGTGGTCAGGGTTCGGGGTTCGGGTGTCGGGTTCGGTGGGTTCGGGTGGTCGGGTTAGGGGGTTAGGGTGGTCGGGTTCGGGGGTTCGGGGTTCGGGTTCGGGTTTCGGGGTGTCGGGTTTCGGGGGTTTGGGTTCGTGGTCTCGGGGGTTCGGGGTGTGGTTTCGGTTGGGTTGTCGGTTATCTTATCGGTGGTTGTAGGGGGTTGGGTTGTGGGTTAGGAGGGGGTTAGGGGTGGTGGGTTAGGTAGGGTTAGGGTGGTGGTTAGGGTGTTAGGGGTAGGTTAGGGTTAGGGTTAGTCGGGGTCTGTCGGAGGGGCCTCTTCGGTGCGGGTCCGGCAGGGTCAGGAGAGGTGGTAGCCTGGTGCAGTCTTCTTGTCACACGAACCACTGCCCTCCATCTCTGCAGGGGAAACACTCGTCCTCAGACCCCTTTCCCCCTCATTACGCACCCGCGCTTTTTAAACCTTCTTTTTTGGGTTTTTTCCCCCTTGGGCTCCACGGCCGGGCCCCCAAAGGTCTGGACAGGAAGAACGTCAATATGGCCTGGCCACCAGAGGTCTGGACAGGAAACAGTCAGATAGGGGCATGGCCACCAGAGGTCTGGACAGGGAAGAACAGTCAGATATGGGCCTGGCCCACCAGAGGTCTGGCCCGGGAAGAACGGGTCAGATAGGGGCCCTGGCCACCAGAGGTCTGGGACAGAAACAGTCGATAGGGGCATGGCCACCAGAGGTCTGGACAGGAAACAGTCAGATAGGGGCATGGCCACCAGAGGTCTGGACAGGAAACAGTCAGATATGGGCCTGGCCACCAGAGGTCTGGACAGGGAAGAACAGTCAGATATGGGCCTGGCCACCAGAGGTCTGGACAGGAAACAGTCAGATAGGGTTCTGGCCACCAGAGGTCTGGACAGGAAACAGTCAGATAGGGCATGGCCACCAGAGGTCTGGACAGGGAAGAACAGTCAGATATGGGTCTGGCCACCAGAGGTCTGGACAGGAAACAGTCAGATAGGGGCATGGCCACCAGAGGTCTGGACAGGAAACAGTCAGATAGGGTTCTGTCCACCAGAGGTCTGGACAGGAAACAGTCAGATATGGGCCTGGCCACCAGAGGTCTGGACAGGAAAGAACAGTCAGATATGGGTCTGTCCACCAGAGGTCTGGACAGGAAACAGTCAGATAGGGGCATGGCCACCAGAGGTCTGGACAGGGAAGAACAGTCAGATATGGGCCTGGCCACCAGAGGTCTGGACAGGAAACAGTCAGATAGGGGCATGGCCACCAGAGGTCTGGACAGGAAACAGTCAGATAGGGGCATGGCCACCAGAGGTCTGGACAGGAAACAGTCAGATATGGGCCTGGCCACCAGAGGTCTGGACAGGGAAGAACAGTCAGATATGGGCCTGGCCACCAGAGGTCTGGACAGGAAACAGTCAGATAGGTTCTGGCCACCAGAGGTCTGGACAGGAAACAGTCAGATAGGGGCATGGCCACCAGAGGTCTGGACAGGGAAGAACAGTCAGATATGGGCCTGGCCACCAGAGGTCTGGACAGGGAAGAACAGTCAGATATGGGCCTGGCCACCAGAGGTCTGGACAGGAAACAGTCAGATAGGGTTCTGGCCACCAGAGGTCTGGACAGGAAAGAACAGTCAGATATGGGTCTGTCCACCAGAGGTCTGGACAGGAAACAGTCAGATAGGGGCATGGCCACCAGAGGTCTGGACAGGAAACAGTCAGATAGGGTTCTGTCCACCAGAGGTCTGACAGGAAACAGTCAGGTGGGGGCAGACCCCATGTTTGGGCTGTTAGATGGACCTCAAGAATTCCATCTGTTCCTTGGGGTATCATCTTTCAGACTTTTAAAAGGTGTTATAAAGTATGGATGTTCTAAATCTACTTGTCTTGTATGTACCAAGAGAAGCCAACTCACCTTGGGCCGGTCTCCAAGGAAACCACTACAGTTGGGAGCCCCACAGCGACACACAGTCTTCTCATTACCAAGGCAATCCAGGTTGTAGTTGAAGGTCAGCTCTGTACCTGCAGACCACAACACACTAGAATATTATTACAACTTCCCTTGAGCAAACCACCAAGACAACAGCATTAAACATCTCTGGCCTGTCAATAAACCAAACCACCAAGACAACAGCATTAAACATCTCTGGCCTGTCAATAAACCAAACCACCAAGACAACAGCATTAAACATCTCTGGCCTGTCAATAAACCAAACCACCAAGACAACAGCATTAAACATCTCTGGCCTGTCAATAAACCAAACCACCAAGACAACAGCATTAAACATCTCTGGCCTGTCAATAAACCAAACCACCAAGACAACAGCATTAAACATCTCTGGCCTGTCAATAAACCACAACCACCAAGACAAACAGCATTAACACATCTCTCGGGCCCTGTCAATAAACCAAACCACCAAGACAAAACAGCATTAAACATCTCTGGCCTGTCAATAAACCAAACCACCAAGACAACAGCATTAAACCATCTCTGGCCTGTCAATAAACCAAAACCACCAAGACAAACAGCATTAAACATCTCTGGCCTGTCAATAAACCAACCACCAAGACAACAGCAATTAACATCTCTGGCCTGTCATAAACCAAACCACCAAGACAACAGCATTAAACATCTCTGGCCTGTCAATAAACCAAACCACCAAGACAACAGCATTAAACATCTCTGGCCTGTCAATAAACCAAACCACCAAGACAACAGCATTAAACATCATCTGGCCTGTCAATAAACCACAAACCACCAAGACAACAGCATTAAACATCTCTGGCCTGTCAATAAACCAAACCACCAAGACAACAGCATTAGACATCTCTGGCCTGTCAATAAACCAAACCACCAAGACAACAGCATTAAACATCTCTGGCCTGTCAATAAAACCAAACCACCAAGACAACAGCATAAACATCTCTGGCCTGTCAATAAACCAAACCACCAAGACAACAGCATTAAAACATCTCTGGCCTGTCAATAAAACCAAACCACCAAGACAACAGCATTAAACATCTCTGGCCTGTCAATAACCAAACCACCAAGACAACAGCATTAACATCTCTGGCCTGTCAATAAACCCAAACCACCAAGACAACAGCATTAAACATCTCTGGCCTGTCAATAAACCAAACCACCAAGACAACAGCATTAAAACATCTCTGGCCTGTCAATAAACCAAACCACCAGACAACAGCATTAAACATCTATGGCCTGTCAATAAACCAACCACCACCAAGACAACAGCATTAAACATCTCTGGCCTGTCACATAAACCAAAACCACCAAGACAACAGCAATTAAACATCTCTGGCCTGTCAATAAACCAAACCACCAGACAACAGCATTTAAAACATATCTGGCCTGTCATAAACCAAACCACCAAGACAACAGCATTAGACATCTCTCTGGCCTGTCAATAAACCAAACCACCAAGACAACAGCATTAAACATCTCTGGCCTGTCAATAAACCAAACCACCAAGACCAGCAGCATTAGACATCTCTTGGCCTGTCAATAAAACCAAACCACCAAGACAACAGCATTAAACATATCTGGCCTGTCAATAAACCAAACCACCAAGACAACAGCATTAAACATCTCTGGCCTGTCAATAAACCAAACCACCAAGACAACAGCATTAAACATCTCTGGCCTGTCAATAAACCAAACCACCAAGACAACAGCATTAAACATCTCTGGCCTGTCAATAAACCAACCACCAAGACAGCAGCATTAGACATCTCTGGCCTGTCAATAAACCAAACCACCAAGACAACAGCATTAAACATATCTGGCCTGTCAATAAACCAAACCACCAAGACAACAGCATTAAACATCTCTGGCCTGTCAATAAACCAAACCACCAAGACAACAGCATTAAACATCTCTGGCCTGTCAATAAACCAAACCACCAAGACAACAGCATTAAACATCTCTGGCCTGTCAATAAACCAAACCACCAAGACAACAGCATTAGACATCTCTGGCCTGTCAATAAACCAAACCACCAAGACAACAGCATTAGACATCTCTGGCATACCATCTTTTTTATTTTACAATAACGACCTGACCAAGGTGGTGGTTGATTCTCACCAGCAGGGATGTCACAGACCGCGAACAGCCCAACCCTGGTATCTCCGTTCACCGTCCATTTCTGCGTCTCACAGTTGGGCTGGCAGCTGTGGTTCATGAAGCGGGAGTAATTCCCTTTAGGGCCGGCGTCTATGATCCGATCCTGGAAACAACACAGGTCAGGCTGGTGAGGTATGCAGTAATATTATAGGAACAGAAAAAGACAGATACAGTTATAGATGTGTAGTATTAAGATAGAGCTACAGTTATAGATGTGTAGTATTGTTTTCTGTAATGTCACAGAGGTCTTGAGTGTAACATCCCCAAAGCAATACTGTTCCTCTGGCTCCAGCAAATCAGGGACACTGCCACAGACAGACAGGTCCTCTCATGGAGGAGCAGACAGCTTTTCTCTGTCCTGGCACCCCAATAGTGGAACCAGCTTCCCCCTGAAGCTACGATAGCAGTCCCTGAACATCTGAAAACAATTTCACAGCACCACCCACATCACCCCCAAAAAAGATTTGGTGAAACACTTGCACTTTACTTTTTTCCCCACTCACTAGCTCTGATACTATCAGCGTAAGTATATTTTTCCTTAATAAAGTAGCTATGTCTGTGATATGTGGTTGTCCCACCTAGTTATCTTATTAAGATGAATGCACTAAGTCACTCTGGTTGAGAGCATCCGCTCAATGACGAACATGTAAATGTACTCCACCTGGGAGGATAGAGTAGAGTAGTGTACTACACCAGGGAGGATAGTGTAGAGTAGTGTACTACACCAGGGAGGATAGAGTAGAGTAGTGTACTACACCAGGGAGGATAGTGTAGAGTAGTGTACTACACCAGGGAGGATAGTGTAGAGTAGTGTACTACACCAGGGAGGGTAGAGTAGAGTAAGTGTACTTACACCAGGGGAGGGTAGTAGTAGAGTAGTGTACTACACCAGGGAGGGTAGAGTAGAGTAGTGTACTACACCAGGGAGGGTAGAGTAGAGTAGTGTACTACACCAGGGAGGGTAGAGTAGAGTAGTGTACTACACCAGGGAGGGTAGAGTAGAGTAGTGTACTACACCAGGGAGGGTAGAGTAGTGTACTACACCAGGGAGGGTAGAGTAGAGTAGTGTATACACACCGGAGGGTAGGTAGAGTAAGTGTACTACACCAGGAGGTTAAGTAGTAGTTACTCCCAGGGAGGGGGAAAAGTAGATAGTGTACTACACCAGGGGGTTTGAAGTAGAGTATTTTACTACACCGGGGGGATAAGTAGTGTACTACACCAGGGGGGGTGAGTAGAGTAGTGTACTACAACAAACCCGGGAGGGTAGAGAGAGTAGTGTACTACACCAGGGGGGGTAGAGTTTAAGGGGTGTACTACACCAGGGGGGGTAGAGTAGTGTACTACACCAAAAAGGGAGGGTAGTGAGAGAGTAAATGTACTACAACCAGGGAGGGTAGAGTAGAGTAGTTTTACTACACCCAGGGAGTAGAGTAGAGTAGTGTACTACACAAGGATAGGTGATTTTGGTGTACTAACCCAGGAGGGTAGAGTAGAGTATTTTCTACACCCAGGAGGGTGAGTAGAGTATTACTACCCAAGGGGGGGGTAGTGTTACTAAAACCGGAGGATAGTGTAGAGTAGGTGTACTCCACCGGGAGGTGAGTAGATAGAGTAGTAGAGTAGTGTACACACCAGGAGGCTAGTGTAGCGTAGTGTACTACACCGGGAGGGTTTAGAGTAGTGTTACTACACCAGGGAGGGTATAGAGTAGTAGAGTAGTGTACTACACAGGGAGGTAGCGAGAGTAGTGTACTACACCAGGGAGGGTAGAGTAGTGTACTACACCAGGGAGGGTAGTGTAGAGTAGTGTACTACACCGGGAGGGGTAATCGACGTAGGTACTACCCCAGGGAGGGTAGAGTAGAGTAGGTTACTACACCAGGGGAGGAATTAGTGAGAGTAGTGTACTACACGGGCGGGTTAGAGTAGAGTAGTGTACTACACCAGGGAGGGTTAGAGTTTTGGAGTAGTCGAGTATTGTACTACACCCGGCGAGGGTGAGTAGTGTACTACACAGGGAGGGTAGTGTAGGAGTAGTTGTATACAACCAGGGAGGGTAGTGTAGAGTAGTGTACTACACCAGGGAGGGTAGAGTAGTGTACTACACCAGGGAGGGTACCTTGTCGATGGTAAGCATGTAGAAGTGAGTGATGTCATTCTCCTGGTAGTCCTTGATCCTGGTGCGACATTCCTCTTCATCGATCAGCTCTCCGATGTACTCATTCACAAACTCCCCCTGCGGAGAGGCATCCACCAATCAGAGCACTTATTCACCTTCACCAATCAGATTACTGATACCCATGTAGTGCTTTGAAAGGCTGGTCATGGCTCACATCAACACCATTATCCCAGAAACCCTAGACCCACTCCATTTCGCATACCGCCCTACCAGATCCACAGATGACGCAATCTCAATCGCACTCCACTTTGCCCTTTCCCGCCTGGACTAAAGGAACACCTGAGAATGCTGTTCATTGACTACATCTCAGCATTCAACACCATAGTGCCCTCAAAGCTCATCACTAAGCTAAGGACCCTGGGACTAAACACCCTCTCTAACTGGATCCTGGACTTCCTGACGGGCCGCCCCCAGGTGGTAAGGGTAAGCAAAAACACATCTTCCACGCTGATCCTCAACACGGGGGCCCCTCAGGGGTGCGTGCTCAGTCCCCTCCTGTACTCCCTGTTCACCCACGATTGCGTGGCCAAGCACGACTCCAACACCAACATTAAGTTTTCTGACGACATAACATGTGGTAGCCCAGATCACCGACAATGATGAGACAGCCTATAGGGAGGAGGTCAGAGACCTGGCAGTGTGGTGCCAGGACAACAACCTCTCCCTCAACGTGACCAAGACAAAGGAGATGATTGTGGACTACAGGAAAAGGAGGACTGAGCACGCCCCCATTCACATCAACAGGGCTGTAGTGGAACAGGTTGAGAGCTTCAAGTTCCTTGGTGTCCACATCACCAACAAACTATCATGGTCCAAACACACCAAGAAAGTTGTGAAGAGGGCACGACAATGCCTATTCCCCCTCAGGAGACTGAAACGATTTGGAATGGGTCCCCAGATCCTCAAAAAGTTTTACAGCTGCACCATTGAGAGCATCCTGACTGGTTGCATCACCGCCTGGTATGGCAACTGCTCGGCCTCCAACCGTAAGGCACTACAGAGGGTAATGCATACGGCCCAGTACATCACTGGGGCAAAGCTTCCTGCCATCCAGGACCTCTATACCAGGCGGTGTCAGAGGAAGGCCCAAAAAATTGCCAAAGGCTCCAGTCACCCTAGTCATAGACTGTTCTCTCTGCTACCGCACGGCAAGCGGTACCGGAGCTCCAATTCTAGGTCCAAAAGGCTCCTCAACAGCTTCTACCCCCAAGCCATAAGACTGCTGAACAATTAATCAAATGGCTACCAGGACTATTGGCATTAACCCCCCCCCCCCCCCCCCCTTTGATTTACACTGCTGCTACTCGCTGTTTAATATCTATTTATAGTCACACCTACATGTACATATTACCTCTACTAACCTGTAGCTCCACACATTGACTTGGTACCGGTACCCCCTGTATATAGTCTCATTATTGTTATCTTATTGTGTGACGTTTTATTTAGTAAATATTTTCTTAACTCTATTTTCTAAAAACTGCATTGCTGGTTAAGGTCTTGTAAATAAGCATTTCACTGTAAGGTCTACACCTGTTGTATTCGGCGCATGTGACAAATAAAGTTTGATTTGATCATCTATAAACTACTGTAATAAATCCTCTCCTCACCTTTTGTATAATAATATAAACAATATAATATCTATAATATATTTATGCAAAGTGTTATGACATGTTTATCATGGCTGTGACATGGCCATAGCAGTGCATTCAGACCCCTTCCCCTTTTCCACATTTTGTTACGTTACAGCCTTATTCTAAAATGCATTAAATAAATAAAAATTCCTCATCAATCTTCACACAATTCCCCATAATGACAAAGCGAAAACAGGTTATACATTTTTGCAAATGTAAAAATAAAAAACTGAAATACCTTATTTACAGTATTCAGACCCTTTGCTATGAGACTCGAAATTGAGCTCGTGCCTCCTGTTTCCATTGATCATCCTTGAGATGTTTCTACAACTTGATTGTAGTCCACCTGTGGTAAATTCAATTGATTGGACATCATTTGGAAAGGCACACACCTGTCTATAAAAGGTCCCACAGTTGACCGTGCATGTCAGAGTAAAAACCAAGCTATGAGGTCGAAGGAATTGTCCGTAGAGCTCCGAGACAGGATTGTGTCGAGGCACAGATCTGGGGAAGGGTTCCAAAACATTTCTGCAGCATTGAAGGTCCCCAAGAACACAGCGGCCTCCCGAGTGGCGCAGCGGTCTAAGGCACTGCATCTCAGTGCTAGAGGCGTCACTACAGACCCAGGCTGAATCACAATCTGCCGTGATTGGGAGTCCAATAGGGCGGCGCACAATTGGCCCAGTGTCGTCCGGGTTTGGCCGGGGTAGGCCGTCATTGTAAATAAGAATTTGTTCTTAACTGACTTGCCTAGTTAAATAAAGGTTAAATACAATTTTTTTTAAATAATCATTCTTAAATGGAAGAAGTTTGGAACCACCAAGACCCTTCCTAGAGCTGGCTGCCCGGCCAAACTGAGCAATCGGGGGAGAAGGGCCTTGGTCAGGGAGGTGACCAAAAACCTGATGGTCACTGACAGAGCTCTAGAGTTCCTCTGTGGAGATGGGAGAACCTTCCAGAAGGACAATCATCTCTGCAGCACTCCACCAATCAGGCCTTTATGGGAGTGTGGCCAGATGGAAGCAACTCCTCAGTAAAAGGCACGAAAGCCCGCTTGGAGTTTGCCAAAAGGCACCTAAAGGACTCTGATGAAACCAAGATAGAACTCTTTGGCCTGAATGCCAAGCGTGACGTCTGGAGGAAACCTGGCACCATCCCTACGGTGAAGCATGGTGGTGGCAGCACCATGCTGTGGGGATGTTTTTCAGCGGCAGGGAGACTAGTCAGGATCGAGGGAAAGATGAACGGAGCAAAGTACAGAGAGATCCTTGATTACAACCTGCTCCGCATTTGAAAAAATTCTAAAAGCCTGTTTTGCTTTGTCATTACGGGGTATTGTGTATAGAATGAGAGAAAAAAAACATTTAAATCCATTTTAGAATAAGGCTGTAAAGTAACAAAATGTGGAAAAAGTCAAGGGGTCTGAATACTTTCCCAATCCACTGTCTATAGTAAATATACCTTCTTAATATCCCGTAGAGCCACCAGGCCCCAGCCCTTGCCAGCAGTCTTGATGATCTTAGTCTCTGGGTAGTGTCTCTTGGTGAATTCCTGGTTGCAGCATCGCTCTGCGTTGGGACAGACCTGAGGGTGGCACTCGTACATCAACATCCTGTTCAGGCATTCTGACTCAAACCCACATGGCTTCTCGTCCGTGGGCTTACAGTTACACTTGGGGATCTCCGACACGTCGGCTGTATAGACATGCACCCGGCCACATGGCTTGTTGATCTGCAGCACACACACAGGGGAGAACAACTATTACATACATGTAATATATCAAAACTGGACTAGGTTGGACTGAGTTTGATGGACTAGGTTGGACTGAGTTTGATGGACTAGGTTGGACTGAGTTTGATGGACTAGGTTGGACTGAGTTTGATGGACTAGGGTTAGGGTTATACCTTGATGTATTTGTATGGAGGGGGTTTCCTGTTGTTCTCCAGCGCCTCCTTGGCCTCCCGTTCCATCTTGATCTCCTTGAAGCGAGTCTCCGCCTCCAAAAGCGCTGGAGAGAGATTATATTGTTATATTATATTAATAACATATGTAGTTATATTATGTTGTTAGTTACAGTGCATTCGGAAAGTATTCACACCCCTTGACTTTTCCTCATTTTGTTATGTTACAGCCTTATTAAAAAAAATGTTTTATATCTATCTCTCTCTATCTACACACAATACCCAATAATGACAAAGCGAAAACAGGTTTGTATAATTTTTGTCAAATGTATTAAATAAAAAAATAGAAATTCCTTATTTACAGTATTCAGACCCTTTGCTATGAGACTGGAACTTGCTCAGGCACATCCTGTTTCCACTGATCATCCTTGACAATGCATGTCAGAGCAAAACAAATACTGCCCTGCTCTGCCTTCTTAACAGCACTATCAACAGGGCAGGTCCTACTGTTCAGTCGGGAGAAGTCTGTCCATAATTAAGCGCTGCTCTACCTTCTTAACAGCACTATCAACAAGGCAGGTCCTACAGGCCCTAGTTTGGTCACACCTGGACTACTGTTCAGTCGTGAGGTCAGGTGCCACAAAAAGGGACTTAGGAAAATTGCAATTGGCTCAGAACAGGGCAGCACGGCTGGCCCTTGGATGTACAAAGAGAGCTAATATTAATAATATGCATGTCAATCTCTCCTGGCTCAAAGTGGAGGAGAGATTGACTTCATCACTACTTGTATTTGTGAGAGGTATTGACATGTTGAATGCACTGACCTGTCTGTTTGAACTACTAGAACACAGCTCAGACACCCATGCATACCCCACAAGACATGCCACCAGAGGTCTCTTCACAGTCCCCAAGTCCAGAACAGACTATGGGAGGCACACAGTAATAATAATATGATAATAATAATATGCCATTTAGCAGATGCTCCAAGCGACTTAGTCATGTGTGCATACATTTTTACGTATGGGTGGTCCCGGGGATCGAACCCACTACCCTGGCGTTACAAGCGCCGTGCTCTACCAATTGAGCTACAGAGGACCACAGTACTACATAGAGCCATGACTACATGGAAGTCTATTCAACATCAAGTGACTGATGCAAGTAGTAAAATTAGATTTAAAAAACTGATAAAAATCCACCTTATGGAACAGCAGGGACTGTTAAGCAACACAAACATAGACACACTATAACATACGCACTATACACACACACGTACACATGGATTTTGTACTGTAGATATGTGGTAGTGGTGGAGTAGGGGCCTGAGGGCACACAGTGTGTTGTGAAATCTGTGAATGTATTGCAATGTTTAAAAAATTGTATAACTGCCTTAATTTTTTCTGGACCCCAGGAAGAATAGCTGCTGCCTTGGCAGGAACTAATGGGGATCCATAATAAATACTAGTCAGGATCGAGGGAAAGATGAACGGAGCAAAGTACAGAGAGATCCTTGATGAAAACCTGCTCCAGAGTGCTCAGGACCTCAGACTGGGGCGAAGGTTCACCTTCCAACAGGACAACGACCCTAAGCACACAGCCAAGACAACACAGGAGTGGCTTCGGGACAAGTCTCTGAATGTCCTTGAGTGGCCCAGCCAGAGCCCGGACTTGAACCAGATCGAACATCTCTGGAGAGACCTGAAAATAGCTGTGCAGCGACGCTCCCCATCCAACCTGACAGAGCTTGAGAGGATCTGCAGAGAAAATTGGGAGAAACTCCCCAAATACAGGTATGCCAAGCTTGTAGCGAAATACCCAAGAAGACTCGAGGCTGTACTCGCTGCCAAAGGTGCTTCAACAAAGTACTGAGTAAAGGGCTGTCATGTGCCTTTTACTGAGGAGTGGCTTCCGTCTGGCCACTCTACCATAAAGGCCTGATTGGTGGAGTGCTGCAGAGATGGTTGTCCTTCTGGAAGGTTTCTCCCATCTCCACAGAGGAACTCTGGAGCTCTGTCAGAGTGACCATTGGGTTCTTGGTCACCTCCCTGACCAAGGCCCTTCTCCCCAGATTGCTCAGTTTAGCCGGGCGGCCAGTCTTGGTGGTTCCAAACTTCTTCCATTTAAGAATGATGGAGGCCACTGTGTTCTTGGGGACCTTCAATGCTGCAGAAATGTTTTGGTACCCTTCCCCAGATCTGTGCCTCGACACAATCCTGTCTCGGAGCTCTACAGACAATTCCTTCGACCTCATAGCTTGGTTTTTGCTCTGACATGCACTGTCAACTGTGAGACCTTATATAGACAGGTGTGTGCCTTTCCAAATAATATCCAATCAATTGAATTTACCACAGGTGGACTCCAATCAAGTTGTAGAAACATCTCAAGGATGATCAATGGGAAACAGGAGGCACGAGCTCAATTTTGAGTATCATAGCAAAGGGTCTGAATACTTATGTAAACACATTTTTTTATTTGTATGTGCCAAAAAAAATATATATATATATATATTGTCATTATGGGGTATTGTGTTTAGATTGATGAAAACATGTATTTAATCAATTTTAGAACAAGTCAAGGGGTCTGAAAACTTTCAGAATACACTGTATGTAAACTCAGCAAAAAAAGAAACGTCCTCTCACTGTCAAGTGTTTATTTTCAGCAAACTTAACATGTGTAAATATTTGTATGAACATAACAAGATTCAACAACTGAGACATAAACTGAACAGGTTCCACAGACATGTGACTAACAGAAATTGAATAATGTGTCCCTGAACAAAGGGGGGGAGGGTCAAAATCAAAAGTAACAGTCAGTATCTGGTGTGGCCACCAGCTGCATTAAGTACTGCAGTGCATCTCCTCCTCATGGACTGCACCAGATTTGCCAGTTCATGCTGTGAGATGTTATCCCAGTCTTCCACCAAGGCACCTGCAAGTTCCCAGACATTTCTGTGGGGAATGGCCCTAGCCCTCACCCTCTTGGGATTGAGATCCGGACTCTTCGCTGGCCATGGCAGAACACTGACATTCCTGTCTTGCAGGAAATCACGCACAGAATGAGCAGTATGGCTGGTGGCATTGTCATGCTGGAGGGTCATGTCAGGATGAGCCTGCAGGAAGGGTACCACATGAGGGAGGAGGATGTCTTCCCTGTAATGCACAGCGTTGAGATTGCCTGCAATGACAACAAGCTCAGTCCGATGATGCTGTGACACACCGCCCCAGACCATGACGGACCCTCCACCTCCAAATCGATCCCACTCCAGAGTACAGGCCTCGGTGTAACGCTCATTCCTTCGACGATAAACACGAATCCGATCATCACCCCTGGTGAGACAAAACCGCGACTCGTCAGTGAAGAGAACTTTTGCCAGTCATGTCTGGTCCAGCGACGGTGGGTTTGTGCCCATAGGCGACGTTGTTGCCGGTGATGTCTGGTGAGGACATGCCTTACAACAGGCCTATAAGCCCTCAGTCCAGCCTCTCTCAGCCTATTGCGGACAGTCTGAGCACTGATGGAGGGATTGTGCGTTCCTGGTGTAACTCGGGCAGTTGTTGTTGCCATCCTGTACCTGTCCCGCAGGTGTGATGTTCGGATGTACCAATCCTGTGCAGGTGTTGTTACACTTGGTCTGCCACACACACACACACACAGGTCTGGAAAAATGTAAGAGACCACTGCAAAATGATCAGTTTCTCTGGTTTTACTATTTATAGGTATGTGTTTGGGTAAAAATAACATTTCTGTTTTATTCTATAAACTGACAACATTTCTCCCAAATTCCAAATAACAATATTGTCATTTAGAGCATTTATTTGCAGAAAATGACAACTGGTCAAAATAACAAAAAAGATGCAGTGTTGTCAGACCTCGAATAATGCAAAGAAAATAAGTTCATGTTCATTTTTAAACACAATAATAATGTTTTAACTTAGGAAGAGTTCAGAAATCAATATTTGGTGGAATAACCCTGATTTACAATCACAGCTTTCATGAGTCTTGGCATGCTCTCCACCAGTCTCTCACATTGATGTTGGGTGACTTTATGCCACTCCTGGCGCAAAAATTCAAGCAGCTCGGCTTTGTTTGATGGCTTGTGACCATCCATCTTCCTCTTGATCACATTCCAGAAGTTTTCAATGGGGTTCAGGTCTGGAGATTGGGCTGGCCATGACAGGGTATTGATCTGGTGGTCCTCCAACCACACCTTGATTGACCTGGCTGTGTGGCATGGCGCATTTCCCTGCTGGAAAAACCAATCCTCAGAGTTGGGGAACAATGTCAGAGCAAAAGGAAGCAAGTTTTCTTCCTGGACAACCTTGTACGTGGCTTGATTCATGCGTCCTTCACAAAGACAAATCTGCCCAATTCCAGCCTTGCTGAAGCACCCCCAGATCATCACCGATCCTCCACCAAATTTCAGTGGGTGCGAGACACTGTGGCTTGTAGGCCTCTCCAGGTCTCCTTCTAACCATTAGACGACCAGGTGTTGGGCAAAGCTGAAAATTGGATCAGAGAAGATTACCTTACTCCAGTCCTCTACGGTCCAATCCTTATGGTCTTTTGCAAACCTCAGCCTGGCTCTTCTTTGCTTCTCATTGATGAAGGGCTTTTTTCTAGCTTTGCACGACTTCAGCCCTGCCCCTAGGAGCATGTTTCGAACCGTCCTCGCTGTGCACTTCACCCCAGCTGCCATTTGCCATTCTTTTTGTAGGTCACTTGATGTCATCCTACGGTTGTTGAGTGACATTCGAATGAGTTGGCGGTCATCCCGGTCAGTAGAGAGTCGTTTTCGCCCTCTGCCGGTCTGTAGCTTTGTTGTCCCCAATGTCTGCTGCTTGACCTTGTTCTTATGAACCGCCGTCTTTGAAAATTTAAAGATGGAAGCAACCTGACGCTCACCGTTTCCCTCTGCCAGTAAAGCCAGAATTGAACTCTTCTTTTCCTCACTCAAAATGTTCTCATGGTCAATAGTTATTTTTGGATTAATATTACTTTTGAGGTACTATTAGCACTGTTTTTGCCATCCAGCTGGACCTATTGCAAGAGGATAGTGATGACCACAGCAGTGGTTTTTATACTTTTCCTTGTTAAATAAGATTTGGTTCAGGTGATCACCTAATCAGTACCTAATTCAGTAGAATGAGGTGTGCCTGTGTTGGAATTCAACAGACACTGGAATGGCTGTCATACATGTAGAGATGCTGATTTAAGAACAATTTGCAGTGGTCTCTTAATTTTTTCCACAACTGTGTATATATAACACACACTATTACCCCCCCCCCGCCCCCAAGGTGCACATATAATTTTTTAGGGGGGCAGGTCAGATTTAGGGAAACCCCTAGCTTAGAGGATCCAATAAGATGGGGGTTGGCTGTATATTCCAGCTCACCGTTCCTGAAGACCTTCCCTATCCCAGTCTTCTGGAACCTGCTGCCCCGGTCTCCCTCCATGTAGGGGAACACTCGGCCCTGGTGCGTCCAGAAGTAGTCCTTAGAACCGAAGAAGAAGACGGGGAACTCTCCGATCTCGTGGCGAAGGTGCTGGATGTTGGTGGGGATGTTCCGAGGATGCTGGATCTCTGCAGGCCACCACCTGGACAGGGTTAGGGTTAGTTAGGCCAGGGAAGAGAAGAGGCAGTGCTCTACACAAACATACTGCTGACTGACCTGTAGTTGCCCATGTCTCTGTACTGACCTGTAGTTGCCCATGTCTCTGTACTGACCTGTAGTTGCCCATGTCTCTGTACTGACCTGTAGTTGCCCATGTCTCTGTACTGACCTGTAGTTGCCCATGTCTCTGTACTGACCTGTAGTTGCCCATGTCTCTGTACTGACCTGTAGTTGCCCATGTCCTGTACTGACCTGTAGTTGCCCATGTCTCTGTACTGACCTGTAGTTGCCCATGTCTCTGTACTGACCTGTAGTTGCCCATGTCTCTGTACTGACCTGTAGTTGCCCAGTTTGACCCAGATGATGTCTCTGTATTTGGGTTTCTTTCCGGCCCGGCAGTCATTACAGAACCAGCTGCCATCCGGCATGGCGATGTTCAGACAGTCTGGATGAAACGCTGCTGGACACGACTCACAGCACAGGAGCTGGCCACCTACACACATACACCGACTTAGAACACAAGGCCACTCATCTCTCCTGCTTGGACTCAGGCTGTAACTACTGATCAAAACAAGAGTTGTGTAGCTGACGTTTGAGTGGTGGTTTTTGCTCTGACATGCACTGTCAACTGTGGGACCTTATATAGACAGGTGTGTGCCTTTCCAAATCATGTCCAATCAATTGAATTTACCACAGGTGGACTCCAATGACGTTGTAGAAACATCTCAAGGATGATCAACTGAAACAGGATGCACCTGAGCTCAATTTTGAGTGTCATAGTAAAGGGTCTGAATACTTAATTTGTTTTTATTTAAAACAATTTCTAAAAATCAGTTTTTGCTTTGTCATTATGGGGTATTGTTTGTAGATTGATGAGGGAGGACATTTTAATCCATTTTAGAATAAGGCTGTAACGTATCAAAATGTGGAAAAGTCAAGGGGTCTGAATACTTTCCAAATGCACTGTCTATGCTACTGCACGACAAGAAAATTATGTGTCGACCAACTAATTGGGGTCAGACCTAGTAGTTTTCGTTGTGTAGTTGTGCGTCTGTGTAGCTCAGTTGGTAGAGCATGGCGTTTGCAACGCCAGGGTTGTGGGTTCGATTCCCACGGGGGGCCAGTATGAAAAATGTATGCACTCACTAACTGTAAGTCGCTCTGGATAAGAGCATCTGCTAAATGACTAAAATGTAGTTGGGCATCTTTGTAGTTGCACGTCTGTGTCGTTAGCGGTTGTTGTTGTGCGTCTGTGTAGTTTATATATATATATCTGTGTAGTTAGTTGTGCATCTGTGTAGTTAGTAGTTGTGCATCTGTGTAGTTGTATATCTGTGTAGTTAGTAGTGTAGTTGTACATCTGTGTAGGAGTATCTCTGTAGTTGTGTATCTGTAGTTGATATTGTGTATCTGTGTAGTTAGTGCTGCATCTGTAGTTAGTTGTGTAGTTAGTGGTTAGTTGTGTACCTGTAGTTAAGTGTCTGTAGTTGTGTACCTGTAGTTAGTAGTGTCTGTAGTTGTGTACCTGTAGTTAATAGTGTCTGTAGTTGTGTCCCTGTAGTTAATGGTGTCTGTAGTTGTGTCCCTGTAGTTAATGGTGTCTGTAGTTGTGTACCTGTAGTTAATGGTGTCTGTAGTTGTGTCCCTGTAGTTAATAGTGTCTGTAGTTGTGTCCCTGTAGTTAATAGTGTCTGTAGTTGTGTCCCTGTAGTTAATGGTGTCTGTAGTTGTGTCCCTGTAGTTAATGGTGTCTGTAGTTGTGTACCTGTAGTTAATAGTGTCTGTAGTTGTGTACCTGTAGTTAATGGTGTCTGTAGTTGTGTACCTGTAGTTAATGGTGTCTGTAGTTGTGTACCTGTAGTTAATGGTGTCTGTAGTTGTGTACCTGTAGTTAATAGTGTCTGTAGTTGTGTACCTGTAGTTAGTGTCTGTAGTTGTGTCCCTGTAGTTAATGGTGTCTGTAGTTGTGTCCCTGTAGTTAATGGTGTCTGTAGTTGTGTACCTGTAGTTAATAGTGTCTGTAGTTGTGTACCTGTAGTTAGTGTCTGTAGTTGTGTCCCTGTAGTTAATGGTGTCTGTAGTTGTGTACCTGTAGTTAATAGTGTCTGTAGTTGTGTACCTGTAGTTAATGGTGTCTGTAGTTGTGTACCTGTAGTTAATGGTGTCTGTAGTTGTGTACCTGTAGTTAGTAGTGTCTGTAGTTGTGTACCTGTAGTTAATAGTGTCTGTAGTTGTGTCCCTGTAGTTAATGGTGTCTGTAGTTGTGTACCTGTAGTTAATAGTGTCTGTAGTTGTGTACCTGTAGTTGGTGTCTGTAGTTGTGTACCTGTAGTTGGTGTCTGTAGTTGTGTACCTGTAGTTGGTGTCTGTAGTTGTGTACCTGTAGTTGGTGTCTGTAGTTGTGTACCTGTAGTTTGTGTCTGTAGTTGTGTACCTGTAGTTAGTGTCTGTAGTTGTGTACATGTAGTTAGTGTCTGTAGTTGTGTACCTGTAGTTAGTAGTGTCTGTAGTTGTGTACCTGTAGTTAGTAGTGTCTGTAGTTGTGTACCTGTAGTTAGTAGTGTCTATAATAATAATAATAATAATAATATAATAATAATAATATATAATAATAATAATAATAATAATAATAATATGCCATTTAGCAGACGCTTTTATCCAAAGCGACTTACAGTCGTGCGTGCATACATTTTTTGTGTATGGGTGGTCCCGGGGATCGAACCCACTACCTTGGCGTTACAAGCGCCGTGCTCTACCAGCTGAGCTACAGAGGACTACAGGTACACAACTAGTTGTGTACCTGTAGTTAATAGTGTCTGTAGTTGTGTACCTGCAGTTAATAGTGTCTGTAGTTGTGTACCTGCAGTTAATAGTGTCTGTAGTTGTGTACCTGTAGTTAGTAGTGTCTGTAGTTGTGTACCTGTAGTTAATGGTGTCTGTAGTTGTGTACCTGTAGTTAATGGTGTCTGTAGTTGTGTACCTGTAGTTAATAGTGTCTGTAGTTGTGTACCTGTAGTTAGTAGTGTCTGTAGTTGTGTACCTGTAGTTAATGGTGTCTGTAGTTGTGTACCTGTAGTTAGTAGTGTCTGTAGTTGTGTACCTGTAGTTAATAGTGTCTGTAGTTGTGTACCTGTAGTTGTGTACCTGTAGTTGGTGTCTGTAGTTGTGTACCTGTAGTTAATGTGTCTGTAGTTGTGTACCTGTAGTTAATTGTGTCTGTAGTTGTGTACCTGTAGTTAATAGTGTCTGTAGTTGTGTACCTGTAGTTAATAGTGTCTGTAGTTGTGTACCTGTAGTTAATAGTGTCTGTAGTTGTGTACCTGTAGTTAATAGTGTCTGTAGTTGTGTACCTGTAGTTAGTGTCTGTAGTTTTGGTGTACCTGTAGTTAATAGTGTCTGTAGTTGTATTGTACCTTGTAGGGTTTGTTGTACCTGTAGTTAATAGTGTCTGTATTGTGTACCTGTTAGTTTGTTGTGTACCTGTAGTTAGTAGTGTCTGTAGTTTGTGTACCTGTAGTTAATAGTGTCTGTAGTTGTGTACCTGTAGTTATAGTGTCTGTAGTTGTGTACCTGTAGTTAGTAGTGTCTGTAGTTGTGTACCTGTAGTTAGTAGTGTCTGTAGTTGTGTACCTGTAGTTAATAGTGTCTGTAGTTGTGTACCTGTAGTTAGTAGTGTCTGTAGTTGTGTACCTGTAGTTAATAGTGTCTGTAGTTGTGTACCTGTAGTTAGTAGTGTCTGTAGTTGTGTACCTGTAGTTAGTAGTGTCTGTAGTTGTGTACCTGTAGTTAGTAGTGTCTGTAGTTGTGCACCTGTAGTTAGTAGTGTCTGTAGTTGTGTACCTGTAGTTAGTAGTGTCTGTAGTTGTGTACCTGTAGTTAATAGTGTCTGTAGTTGTGTACCTGTAGTTAGTAGTGTCTGTAGTTGTGTACCTGTAGTTAGTAGTGTCTGTAGTTGTGTACCTGTAGTTAATAGTGTCTGTAGTTGTGTACCTGTAGTTAATGGTGTCTGTAGTTGTGTACCTGTAGTTAGTAGTGTCTGTAGTTGTGTACCTGTAGTTAGTAGTGTCTGTAGTTGTGTACCTGTAGTTAATGGTGTCTGTAGTTGTGTACCTGTAGTTAGTAGTGTCTGTAGTTGTGTACCTGTAGTTAGTAGTGTCTGTAGTTGTGTACCTGTAGTTATATGTGTCTGTAGTTGTGTACCTGTAGTTAATGGTGTCTGTAGTTGTGTACCTGTAGTTAGTAGTGTCTGTAGTTGTGTACCTGTAGTTAGTAGTGTCTGTAGTTGTGTACCTGTAGTTAGTAGTGTCTGTAGTTGTGTACCTGTAGTTAGTAGTGTCTGTAGTTGTGTACCTGTAGTTAGTAGTGTCTGTAGTTGTGTACCTGTAGTTATAGTGTCTGTAGTTGTGTACCTGTAGTTAATAGTGTCTGTAGTTGTGTACCTGTAGTTAGTAGTGTCTGTAGTTGTGTACCTGTAGTTAGTAGTGTCTGTAGTTGTGTACCTGTAGTTAATAGTGTCTGTAGTTGTGTACCTGTAGTTAATAGTGTCTGTAGTTGTGTACCTGTAGTTAGTAGTGTCTGTAGTTGTGTACCTGTAGTTAATAGTGTCTGTAGTTGTGTACCTGTAGTTAGTAGTGTCTGTAGTTGTGTACCTGTAGTTAGTAGTGTCTGTAGTTGTGTACCTGTAGTTAGTAGTGTCTGTAGTTGTGTACCTGTAGTTAGTAGTGTCTGTAGTTGTGTACCTGTAGTTAGTAGTGTCTGTAGTTGTGTACCTGTAGTTAGTAGTGTCTGTAGTTTGTGTACCTGTAGTTAATAGTGTCTGTAGTTGTGTACCTGTAGTTATAGTGTCTGTAGTTGTGTACCTGTAGTTAATAGTGTCTGTAGTTTGTGTACCTGTAGTTAGTAGTGTCCTGTAGGTTTGTGTACCTGTAGTTAGTAGTGTCTGTAGTTGTGTACCTGTAGTTATAGTGTCTGTAGTTGTGTACCTGTAGTTAGTAGTGTCTGTAGTTGTGTACCTGTAGTTAATAGTGTCTGTAGTTGTGTACCTGAGTTAGTAGTGTCTGTAGTTGTGTACCTGTAGTTAGTAGTGTCTGTAGTTGTGTACCTGTAGTTAATGGTGTCTGTAGTTGTGTACCTGTAGTTAATGGTGTCTGTAGTTGTGTACCTGTAGTTAGTAGTGTCTGTAGTTGTGTACCTGTAGTTAATAGTGTCTGTAGTTGTGTACCTGTAGTTAATAGTGTCTGTAGTTGTGTACCTGTAGTTAGTAGTGTCTGTAGTTGTGTACCTGTAGTTAATAGTGTCTGTAGTTGTGTACCTGTAGTTAATAGTGTCTGTAGTTGTGTACCTTTGGAGCAGACGAAGCACCAGCTGACGTTGACATGTGAGTGGTGGCTGTAGCCCTTCTTGGGGGAGAAGTGGTTGGTGCAGATGGTGGTGGTGGGGGTCACCATCTCACTGCCAGCCGCAACACACACCTCTCCTGTATGGTACGCCACCGGGCAGCGCAGGCAACGCATCATCTTCCCTACAATACACCACAACATTATATTAACACACCTGACATCATCTTACCTACAATACACCACAACATTATATTAACACACCTGACATCATCTTACCTACAATACACCCACAACATTATATTAACACACCTGACATCATCTTACCTACAATACACCACACATTATATTAACACACCTGACATCATCTTCCCTACAATACACCACAACATTATATTAACACACCTGACATCATCTTCCCTACAATACACCACAACATTATATTAACACACCTGACATCATCTTCCCTACAATACACCACAACATTATATTAACACACCTGACATCATCTTCCCTACAATACACCACAACATTATATTAACACACCTGACATCATCTTCCCTACAATACACCACAACATTATATTAACACACCTGACATCATCTTCCCTACAATACACCACAACATTATATTAACACACCTGACATCATCTTCCCTACAATACACCACAACATTATATTAACACACCTGACATCATCTTCCCTACAATACACCACAACATTATATTAACACACCTGACATCATCTTACCTACAATACACCACAACATTATATTAACACACCTGACATCATCTTACCTACAATACACCACAACATTATATTAACACACCTGACATCATCTTACCTACAATACACCACAACATTATATTAACACACCTGACATCATCTTACCTACAGTTCACCACATGATATTAACCCTAACCCTACAGTTCACCATGCTTCCCCGTAGGGATGGTGCCAGGTTTCCTCCAGACGTGATGCTTGGCATTCAGGCCAAAGAGTTCAATCTTGGTTTCATTAGACCAGAGAATCTTGTTTCTCATTGTCAGAGCCCTGGGCGGTTTTCACATAAGAATACTGTACCAAGTTAGCTAGCTGAATAAACTAAGTTAGTCTATTCCTAGAAAACATTGAACCGCTGTAGTTTACAACAATTATAGTTTCTAAAGTGGAAGTAGGGAGAGTTATATTTGAGTGTTTCAGTGAAACGTAAGTGAGGGAGGCCCTGCTCTCTCGCTTCCCCAGATGTTTAGTTAATTTCATTCCGATCTCCTTTGCATTATTGTAGCCTTTTCTGTAGCCTGTCAACTATGCCTCTGTCTATCCCTGTTCTCTCCTCTCTGCACAGGCCATACAAACGCTTCACGCCGCGTGGCTGCTGCCACTCTAATCTGGTGGTCCCTGCACGCACCACCAACGTGGAGTTCCAGGTCTCCGGCAGCCTCTGGAACTGCAGTTCTGCGGCCAACAAGGCAGAGTTCATCTCAGCCTATGCTACACTCCAGTCCCTCGACTTCTTGGCGCTGACGGAAACATGGATTACCACTGAAAACACTGCTACTCCTACTGCTCTCTCCTCGTCTGACCATGTGTTCTCGCATACCCGGAGAGCATCTGGTCAGCGGGGTGGTGGCACAGGAATCCTCATCTCTCCCAAGTGGACATTCTCTCTTTCTCCCCTGACCCATCTGTCCATCTCCTCATTTGAATTCCATGCTGTCACTAGCCCATTCAAGCTTAACATCCTTGTCATTTATCGCCCTCCAGGTTCCCTTGGAGAGTTCATCAATGAGCTTGACACCTTGATAAGTTCCTTTCCTGAGGATGGCTCACCCCTCACAGTTCTGGGGGATTTCAACCTCCCTACGTCTACATTTGACTCATTTCTCTCTGCCTCCTTCTTTCCACTCCTCTCCTCTTTTGACCTCACCCTCTCACCGTCCCCCCCTACTCACAAGGCAGGCAATACGCTTGACCTAATCTTTACTAGATGCTGTTCTTCTACTAATCTCACTGCAACTCCCCTCCAAGTCTCCGACCACTACTTTATATCCTTTTCTCTCTCGCTCTCCTCCAACACTACTCCCTCTGCCTCTCCTCATTTACATTTTAGTCATTTAGCAGACGCTCTTATCCAGAGCGACTTACAGTTAAGTGAGTGCATACATTTTTTTTTTTTTTTTTCATACTGGCCCCCCGTGGGAATCGAACCCACAACCCTGCCGTTGCAAACGCCATGCTCTACCAACTGAGCTACATCCCTGCCGGCCATTCCCTCCCCTACCCTGGACGATGCTGGGCCAATTGTGCGCCGCCCAATGGGTCTCCCGGTCGCGGCCGGCTACAACAGAGCCTGGATTCAAACCAGGATCTCTAGTGGCACAGCTAGCACTGTGATGCAGTGCCTTAGACCACTGCGCCACTCAGGAGAATGAATACTCAGATGGTAATGTGCCGTCGCAACCTTCACCCTCTCTCCCCCGCTACTCTCTCCTCTTCCATCCTATCATCTCTTCCCTCTGCTAAATCCTTCTCCCTCCGATCTCCTGATTCTGCCTCCTCAACCCTCCTCTCCTCCCTTTCTGCATCCTTTGACTCTCTATGTCCCCTATCCTCCCGGCCGGCTCGGTCCTCCCCTCCAGCTCCGTGGCTTGACGACTCATTGCGAGCTCACAGAACAGGGCTCCGGGCAGCCGAGCGGAAATGGAGGAAAACTAGACTCCCTGCGGACCTGGCATCTTTTCACTCCCTCCTCTACATTTTCTTCCTCTGTTTCTGCTGCTAAAGCCACTTTCTACCACTAAATTTCAAGCCTCTGCCTCTTACCCTAGGAAGCTCTTTGCCACCTTCTCCTCCCTGCTGAATCCCCCCCCCCCCCCCCCTCCCTCTCTGTGGATAACTTCGTCAACCATTTTGAAAAGAAGGTTGACGACATCTGATCCTCATTTATTAAGTCAAATGACACCGCTGGTCCTGCTCACACTGCCCTACCCTATGCTTTGACTTCTTTCTCCCCTCTCTCTCCAGATGAAATCTTGTGACGGCCGGCCGCCCAACAACCTGCCCGCTTGACCCTATCCATTCCTCTCTTTTCCAGACCATTTCCGGAGACCTTCTCCCTTACCTCACCTCGCTCATCAACTCATCCTTGTCCCTTCCGTCTTCAAGAGAGCGAGAGTTGCACCCCTCCTCAAAAAACCTACACTCGATCCCTCCGATGTCAACAACTACAGACCAGTATCCCTTCTTTCTTTTCTCTCCAAAACTCTTGAGCGTGCCGTCTCTAGCCAACTCTCCTGCTATCTCTCTCAGAATGACCTTCTTGATCCAAACCAGTCAGGTTTCAAGACTGGTCATTCAACTGAGACTGCTCTTCTCTGTGTCACGGAGGCTCTCCGCACTGCTAAAGCTAACTCTCTCTCCTCTGCTCTTATCATTCTAGACCTGTCTGCTGCCTTTGATACTGTGAACCATCAGATCCTCCTCTCCACCCTCTCCGAGTTGGGCATCTCTGGCGCTGCTCACTCTTGGATTGCGTCCTACCTGACAGGTCGCTCCTACCAGGTGGCGTGGCGAGAATCTGTCTCCGCACCACGTGCTCTCACCACTGGTGTCCCCCAGGGCTCAGTTCTAGGCCCTCTCCTATTCTCTCTATACACCAAGTCACTTGGCTCTGTCATATCCTCACATGGTCTCTCCTATCATTGCTACGCAGACGACACACAATTAATGTTCTCCTTTCCCCCCCTTCTGATAACCAGTTTGCGAATCGCATCTCTGCATGTCTGGCAGACATATCAGTGTGGATTTCGGATCACCACCTCAAGCTGAACATCGGCAAGACGGAGCTGCTCTTCCTCCCGGGAAAGGACTGCCCGCTCCATGATCTCGCCATCACGGTTGACAACTCCGTTGTGTCCTCCTCCCAGAGTGCAAGGAACCTTGGCGTGACCCTGGACAACACCCTGTCGTTCTCCGCTAACATCAAAGCGGTGACCCGATCCTGCAGGTTCATACTCTACAACATTCGCAGAGTACGACCCTACCTTACACAGAAAGCGGCACAGGTCCTAATCCAGGCATCTCCCGTCTGGATTACTGCAACTCGCTGTCGGCTGGGCTCCCTGCCTGTGCCATTAAACCCCTACAACTTATCCAGAACGTTGCAGCCCGTCTGGTGTTCAACCTTCCCAAGTTCTCTCACGTCACCCCGCTCCTCCGCACACTCCACTGGCTTCCAGTTGAAGCTCGCATCTACTACAAGACCATGGTGCTTGCCTACAGAGCTGTGAGGGGAACGGCACCTCCTTACCTTCAGGCTCTGATCAGACCCTACACCCAAATGAGGGCACTACATTCATCCACCTCTGCCCTGCTAGCCCCCCTACCTCTACGGAAGCACAGTTCCCGCTCAGCCCAGTCAAAGCTATTCGCTGCTCTGGCACTCAATGCCAGGACAGCGGAGTCACTGTCCCCCCCCCAAAAAAAAGAAAGGTGGTTGTCCCACTGGCCATCCTAAGTTGAACTAACTGTTAGTCGCTCTGGATAAGAGCCTCTGCTAAATGACTTAAATGTTAAATGTAAATGTGTCTACATCACTAAGGACCTATTATGGTCCAAACACACCAAAAGTCGTGTAGAGGACACAACGCCTATTCCCCCTCAGGAGGCTGAGAAGATTCGGCATGGGACCTCATATCCTCAAAACATTCTACAGCTGCACCATCGAGAGCATCCTGACTGGTTGCATCACCACTTGGTATGGCAAGTGCTCAGCATCCGACCGCAAGGCACTACAGAGGGTAGTGCGTACGGCCCAGTACATCACTGGGGTCAAGCTTCCTGCCATCCAGGACCTCTATACCAGGCGGTGTCAGAGGAAGGCCCTAAAAAATGGTAAGACTCCAGCCCCCAATTCATAGACCGTTCTCTCTGCTGCCGCACGGCAAGCGGTGCCTGAGTGCCAGTCTGGGACCAAAAGGCTCCTTAACAGCTTCTACCCCCAAGCCATAAGACTGCTGAACAGTTAATCAAATGGACTATTTGCATTGACCCCTTATTTTATTACCGACTCTCTTGCACATGCTCGATGTGCACTCACTGGACTCTAATCACACATGCACTAAACTGACACATTCACACTCTTCTCATATACTGCTGCTCCTCTGTTTATTTACTATGCATAGTCCCTTTACCCCTACCTACAGTATATGGACATATTACCTCAATTATAACTGTACCTTTGCACATTGACTCAGTACTGGTACTCCTTGTATATATGCATGTTATTTGTATTTTGTTGGTTAAGGGCTCATAAGCATTTCACGATACCTGTTGAATTCGGCGCATGTGACAAAATTTGATTTAGATTCATAAAGCCCGGCACATTAACAGTTAGGCTATTGATTATAGACCTAATTAAGTTGGGGTTTCCTCTCGCCTCACTTTTCTTAGACAATTGAGGCAAGGGCTGTTTCCTCATCTCCTCCCTCCGCTGCTGCCTCCCCCGCTTTGTTCTCAACACCAATATGCTGGTTAACTTTGCTATTATGCACATAGCAACATGGTCTAGGAAAAGGCGGCAATTCAAAAGCACACTGATGTGTTTCAGAACCGCGGACAGCGACCACTATCCAACGTGGGAGAAAGCGCATTTGCTATAAGATAATATAATTTGTATTAGTGTTGCACCATTGTTCTTACATAATATAACCATATACAATTTCAGTAACACTTGTCTTAGACTGATGGACTGTGCCATCCCCACGGCCTCCACAATGGATCAGTCCACTCAGACAGGCTCCAATCAGACAGGTATCCCCACGGCCTCCACAATGGATCAGTCCACTCAGACAGGCTCCAATCAGACAGGTGTCCCAACGGCCTCCACAATGGATCAGTCCACTCAGACAGGCTCCAATCAGACAGGTGTCCCAACGGCCTCCACAATGGATCAGTCCACTCAGACAGGCTCCAATCAGACAGGTGTCCCAACGGCCTCCACAATGGATCAGTCCACTCAGACAGGCTCTAATCAGACAGGTGTCCCCACGGCCTCTACAATGGATCAGTCCACTCAGACAGGAGCCAGACTGGTGTCTTGTGCGTCATGAAAAAAAATTACTACAGTGAGGGAAAAAAAAGTATTTGAGTGGGACAAAATCCCTCCTGAAATGTGTGCAAACCTGGTGGCCAACTACAAGAAACGTCTGACCTCTGATTGCCAACAAGGGTTTTGCCACCAAGTACTAAGTCATGTTTTGCAGAGGGGTCAAATACTTATTTCCCTCATTAAAATGCTAATCAATTTATATCATTTTTGACGTGTTTTTCTGGATTTTTTTGTTGTTATTCTGTCTCTCACTGTTCTAATAAACCTACCATTAAAATTATAGACTGATCATGTCTTTGTCAGTGGGCAAACGTACAAAATCAGCAGGGGATCAAATACTTTTTTCCCTCACTGTATTTGTGACTGCTCGACTAAAGATATCTCGGTCGACCAACAGCCTACAGATCTCAGAGTCAAAACTGCCCATTGACTAAATCTCATGGAAAGGGTTAGGGTTTAGCGGTGAGGGACCCAGTCTGCCTCACCCTTAGTAGTCTAGGGTTAGGGTACTGACTCACCCTTAGTAGTCTTGGGTTAGGGTACTGACTCACCCTTGGGTTAGGGTACTGACTCACCCTTGGGTTAGGGTACTGACTCACCCTTGGGTTAGGGTACTGACTCACCCTTGGGTTAGGGTACTGACTCACCCTTGGGTTAGGGTACTGACTCACCCTTGGGTTAGGGTACTGACTCACCCTTGGGTTAGGGTACTGACTCACCCTTGGCAGCCTTGGGTTTAGAGTGGCAGCTGAGACAGGTGTGGAGGGGGCAGCGGAAGCCCTTGTTGTCGAACACCGTGAGGGCGTTGGGGCGGACGCAGGCTTCATGGTAGAACTTCCCACAGTGCTGCACATTACAACGATGCACCTCCCCATCTGACAGCTTACAGCTGAAACACTGGTGCACCCCTGGAGAGAGAAAGAGGAGGACAGACAGAAGGGGTTAACCTGCCACCAGTCATTACCGGAGCTGCTCCACACAGGCAGCCTGACGGATGATCTTACCTGAGGTGCATTCTGGACAGAGCAGCTTGTCCTGTGGTTTCAGGGTGCGTCCTAGACAGGAGAGGTGGAAGGACCCACAGCACTGACCCTCACATGGCACCACGTCCTCTCCAGCCTGCTCACACACCTATAGCACAACACAGTCAGCAACACAGTGAACCACACCCCTATAACACAACACAGTCAGCAACACAGTGAACCACACCCCTATAACACAACACAGTGAACCACACCCCTATAACACAACACAGTGAACCACACCCCTATAACACAACACAGTCAGCAACACAGTGAACCACACCCCTATAACACAACACAGTGAACCAACCCCTATAACAACCAGTGAACCACACCCCTATACACAACACAGTGAACACAACCCCTATAACACAACACAGTGAACCACACCCCTATAACACAACACAGTGAACCACACCCCTATACACAACACAGTGAACACACAGTGAACCACCCCTATAAAACACACAGCAACACAGTGAACCACACCCCTATAACACAACACAGTGAACCACACCCCTATAACACAGTGAACCACACCCCTATAACAAACACAGTGAACCACACCCCTATAAACACAGTGAACCACACCCCTATACAACACAGTGAACCACACCCCTATAACAAACACAGTGAACCACACCCTATAACACAAACACAACCAGTGAACCACACCCCTATAACACAACACAGTGAACCACACCCCTATAACACAACGTGAACCACACCCCTATAACACAGTGAACCACACCCCTATAACAACACGTGAACCACACCCCTATAACACAACAGTGAACCACACCCTATACACAACACAGTGAACCACACCCCTATAAACACAGTGAACACACCCCTATAAACAACACAGTGAACCACACCCCTATAACACACACAGTGAACCACACCCCTACCTGAACACAACCCAACACGTGAACCACACCCCTATAAAAACAGTGAACCACACCCTAAACACAGTGAACCACACCCCTATAAACACAACACAGTGAACCACACCCCTATAACACAACACAGTGAACCACACCCCTATAACAACACAGTGAACCACACCCCTATAACAACACAGTGAACCACACCCCTATACACACAGTGAACCACACCCCTATAACACAGTGAACCACACCCCTATAACACAGTGAACCACACCCCTATAACACAGTGAACCAACCCTATAACACAGTGAAACCACACCCCTATATAACACGTGAACCACACCTATAACACAGTGAACCACACCCCTATAACACAACACAGTGAACCACACCCCTATAACACAACACAGTGAACCACACCCCTATAACCAACACAGTGAACCACACCCCTATAACAAAACACAGTGAACCACACCCCTATAACACAGTGAACCACACCCCTATACAACACAGTGAACCACACCCCTATAACACAAACACAGTCGCAACACAAGTGAACCACACCCTATAACACAACACAGTGAACCACACCCCTATAACCAACACAGTGAACCACACCCCTAGTAACACAACACAGTGAACCACACCCCTTTTACACAACACAGTGAACCACCACCCTATTACACAACACAGTGAACCACACCCCTATACACAACACAGTGAACCACACCCCTATAACACAACACAGTGAACCACACCCCTATAACACAACACAGTGAACCACACCCCTATAACACAACACAGTGAACCACACCCCTATTAACACAACACAGTGAACCCACACCCCTATAACACAACACAGTGAACCACACCCCTATAACACAACACAGTGAACCACACCCCTATAACACAACACAGTGAACCACACCCCTATAACACAACACAGTGAACCACACCCCTATAACACAACACAGTGAACCACACCCCTATAACACAACACAGTGAACCACACCCCTATAACACAACACAGTGAACCACACCCCTATAACACAGTGAACCACACCCCTATAACACAACACAGTGAACCACACCCCTATAACACAACACAGTGAACCACACCCCTATAACACAACACAGTGAACCACACCCCTATAACACAACACAGTGAACCACACCCCTATAACACAACACAGTGAACCACACCCCTATAACACAACACAGTGAACCACACCCCTATAACACAGTGAACCACACCCCTATAACACAGTGAACCACACCCCTATAACACAACACAGTGAACCACACCCCTATAACACAACACAGTCAGCAACAGTGAACCACACCCCTATTACACAACACTGAACCACACCCCTATAACACAACACAGTGAACCACACCCCTATAACACAGTGAACCACACCCCTATAACACAGTGAACCACACCCCTATAACACAGTGAACCACACCCCTATAACACAGTGAACCACACCCCTATAACACAGTGAACCACACCCCTATAACACAACACAGTGAACCACACCCCTATAACACAACACAGTGAACCACACCCCTATAACACAACACAGTGAACCACACCCCTATAACACAACACAGTGAACCACACCCCTATAACACACAGTGAACCACACCCCTATAACACAACACAGTGAACCACACCCCTATAACACAACACAGTCAGCAACACAGTGAACCACACACCTATAACACAACACAGTGAACCACACCCCTATAACACAACACAGTGAACCACACCCCTATAACACAACACAGTGAACCACACCCCTATAACACAACACAGTGAACCACACCCTATAACACAACACAGTGAACCACACACCTATAACACACAGTCAGCAACACAGTGAACCACACCCCTATTACACAACACAGTGAACCACACCCCTATAACACAGTGAACCACACCCCTATACACAGTGAACCACACCCCTATAACACAGTGAACCACACCCCTATAACACACCGTGGAACCACACCCCTATAACACAACATTGAACCACACCCCTATAACACAAACACAGTGAACCACACCCCTATAACACAACACAGTGAACCACACCCCTATAACACAGTGAACCACACCCCTATAACACAGTGAACCACACCCCTATAACACAGTGAACCACACCCCTATAACACAACACAGTGAACCACACACCTATAACACAACACAGTGAAACTGATAAGATTGAAACTCCCCCCAACCTAACCCTGGGAGATGAGCTGTTCTCACCTGACAGACAGATTCCTTCTTGGGGCCTCCACCGTTGGTCTTCTTGGTCCCGTTGGTCTGGTCTATGCTGTCACTGGGGGACTCTGGACGCTCCTCACTGCCAGAGCACTCTGGCTCAGGACTGGCTGCTGCTCGCTTCCTCTTGCTGGTCTGGGAGGCTGCTGATTGGCTGCCTGAGTCCTGCCTCCTCTTCCTGATTGGCTTGGTCTTCTCTGGTTCTTTCTCTGGTGATTTAGAACTAGTGGATCCTTTGACTTGTGTCTCCGTTTTCTTTCTGTTTCTCTTCTTCGTGGGGGCGGAGGAGTCTGCTGCTACAGCCTGGGGTTAGAGTTAGGAGAGGAAAATCAGACTCATCATTATCATCATGGACATCTAAAAAGGCAACATACTGGCAGTACATAGAGTAGCCATCCAAATAGAATACAGGGGCCAGCTAGGTTTTGGTAGCCTCTGGTACATTCTAATGCCTTAATTCGATCCAAAATACACAGCAAAATGATCAAGTTTATTTTTGTATTATCTTGATTATTGTCCAGTCGTGTGGTCGAGTGCTGCAAGGAAAGACCTAGTTAAGCTGCAGCTGGCCCAGAACAGAGCGACACGTCTTGCTCTTCATTATAATCAGAGGGCTGATATAAATACTATGCATGCCAGTCTCTCTGCCAGTCTCTCTGCCAGTCTCCCTGCCAGTCTCTCTGCCAGTCTCCCTGCCAGTCTCCCTGCCAGTCTCTCTGCCAGTCTCTCTGCCAGTCTCTCTGCCAGTCTCTCTGCCAGTCTCTCTGCCAGTCTCTCTGCCAGTCTCTCTTGGCTAAGAGTTGAGGAGAGACTGACTGCATCGCTTCTTTTTATAAGAAAATTCTCAATTGTTTGCATAGTCAATTTACACACGTCTCTGACACATTCAAGGAAGCGTACAGTATTATAGAGAGCCAGGAACAACGCCTCTCCCCTATTTGACCTAGATAGTTTGTGTGTATGTATTGATATGTAGGCTACGTGTGCCTTTTTGAAAATTGATGTAGTTCTGTCCTTGAGCTGTTCTTGTCTATTAATGTTCTGTATTATGTCATGTTTCATGTTTTGTCTGGAACCCAGGAAGAGTAGCTGCTGCTTTCACAACAGCTAATGGGGATCCTAATAAAATACCAAAATACCAGATTGGAAAAATGTGTGGTATTGAGTAGAAATAATTGACTTTACAATAAATAAATAAAAATCACAGAACATTTCTGAATTCAGTGCATTGTTAGTTGTTTTGCATATCGTCTAGGCCTATGTGATAGACTATTTTCTAAGAGAACATTTAACACGTCTCCTCGAGATTAAAGTATTATTTCAAGTTTTACTGCGAGATATGAATTGTCACAATGATGTTTGTTCTTCAAATGACGTATTTTACTAAAACAGAAACATAGCCCACATCCTCTTGAAAAATAAATTAAAAGTTCAATTGAAAAAATAAAAAAAGGGCTGCCCAGTGACACAAGCCTCCCAAACGAGCTAAATCACTTCTATGCTCGCTTCAAGGGAAGCAACACTGAAGCATGCATGAGAGCACCTGGGCCACCCCCAGGTGGTAAGGGTAGGTAACAGCACATCTGCCCCGCTGACCCTCAACACGGGGGCCCCTCAGGGGTGCGTGCTCAGTCCCCTCCTGTACTCCCTGTTCACCCATGACTGCATGGCCAGGCACGACTCCAACACCATCATTAAGTTTGCCTACAACACAACAGTGGTAGGCCTGATCACCGACAACGATGAGACAGCCTATAGGGAGGAGGTCAGAGACCTGGCAGTGTGGTGCCAGGACAACAACCTCTCCCTCAACGTGACCAAGACAAAGGAGATGATTGTGGAACAGGTTAAGAGCTTCAAGTACCTTTGTGTCCACATCACCAACTAACTATCATGGTCCAAACACACCAAGACAGTCGTGAAGAGGGTACGACAAAGCCTATTCCCCCTCAGGAGACTGAAAAGATTTAGCATGGGTCCTCAGATCCTCAAAAAGTTCTACAGCTGCACCATCAAGAGCATCCTGACTGGTTGCATCACCGCCTGGTATGGCAACTGCTTGGCCTCCAACCGCAAGGCACTACAGAGGGTAGTGCGTACGGCCCAGTACATCACTGGGGCCAAGCTTCCTGCCATCCAGGACCTCTATACCAGGTGGTGTCAGAGGAAGGCCCTAAAAATTGTCAAAGACTCCAGCCACCCTAGTCATAGACTGTTCTCTCTGCTACCGCACGGCAAGCGGTACCGGAGTGCCAAGTCTGGGTCCAAAAGACTTCTCAACAGCTTCTACCCCCAAGCCATAAGACTCCTGAACAGCTAATCATGGCTACCCAGACTATTTGCACTGCCCCCCCACCCCATCCTTTTACGCTGCTGCTACTCTGTTAATTATTTATGCATAGTCACTTTAACTCTACCCACATGTACATATTACTTCAACTACCTCAACTAGCCGGTGCCCCCGCACATTGACTCTGTACCGGTACCCCCCTGTATATATAGCCTCCCTACTGTTATTTTATTTGACTTCTGCTCTTTTTTTCTCAACACTTTTGTTGTTGTTGTTTTATTTTTACTTTTTTGTTAAAAATAAATGCACTGTTGGTTAAGGGCTGTATGTAAGCATTTCACTGTAATGTCTGCACCTGTTGTATTCGGCGCATGTGGCCAATAAAATTTGATTTGACATGCTTTGGTAGAACCCAACACGCTAACTACCATCTGGTCCTAATGGCCTGGTACTCAGGGCTCTATTGTCCCTCTAACCATCAGGTCCTAATGGCCTGGTACTCAGGGCTATATTGTCCCTCTAACCATCAGGTCCTAATGGCCTGGTACTCAGGGCTCTATTGTCCCTCTAACCATCAGGTCCTAATGGCCTGGTACTCAGGGCTCTATTGTCCCTCTAACCATCAGGTCCTAATGACCTGGTACTCAGGGCTCTATTGTCCCTCTAACCATCAGGTCCTAATGGCCTGGTACTCAGGGCTCTATTGTCCCTCTAACCATCAGGTCCTAATGGCCTGGTACTCAGGGCTCTATTGTCCCTCTAACCATCAGGTCCTAATGGCCTGGTACTCAGGGCTCTATTGTCCCTCTAACCATCAGGTCCTAATGACCTGGTACTCAGGGCTCTATTGTCCCTCTAACCATCAGGTCCTAATGGCCTGGTACTCAGTGCTCTATTGTCCCTCTAACCATCAGGTCCTAATGGCCTGGTACTCTGGGCTCTATTGTCCCTCTAACCATCAGGTCCTAATGACCTGGTACTCAGGGCTCTATTGTCCCTCTAACCATCAGGTCCTAATGGCCTGGTACTCTGGGCTCTATTGTCCCTCTAACCATCAGGTCCTAATGACCTGGTACTCAGGGCTCTATTGACCCTCTAACCATCAGGTCCTAATGGCCTGGTACTCAGGGCTCTATTGTCCCTCTAACCATCAGGTCCTAATGGCCTGGTACTCAGGGCTCTATTGTCCCTCTAACCATCAGGTCCTAATGGCCTGATGGTGTACATTAATTGAATATACACCATCAAAATAAACCATGAGTTTTTTTAAATGTAGAAGTTCCAAAGGCTCGCATCAGAGGCTTGGAGGCCGGGAGGTGCTAAACGTGTTAGTGTTAATTAACGGTTAATTACCGTGAGACCGGCAGACTTCTGCATGACAATAACCGGCTGACAAAATGTAATGACCGTCACAGCCATAAGTATGATCACATTTATAGCAAAATAAATGCTGCAGTAGCCGTTTCAAAGTAATTCTGCCGTTTTGTTTCATAGGTGGTAAATTAAATCGCACAAAGTAAAAGAACTAGGAATCCTATAGCCTGTCCCACCTCGCGCTGCAACACTGCCTGGCTGGGGGCCGTGCGCACATGAAGAGCTGAGTGAAAGATACATTTTAATAAGCGCTGCGCACAGCCATAAAAGTTGGTCTAATTTACTTGAAACTAAACACTGACGTGAGACTTTGTCCTTGTGTTTTTTTGGCTATTTACATTGTGAACAAAAAAACCTAGGTTGTATTTCAATGTTTGAATTTCAACTGCTAGGGAAGAGAAGTCAGACTCAATCTCACAAGCACATGACTCCAGTCGCGTTACCACGGTAACCTCCCGCCCTTAAAGGGGCAGGTGAACATTTTTGGGGAAGGGTACCAAAACATTTCTGCAGCATTGAAGGTCCCCAAGAAGTGACCTCCATCATTCTTAAATGGAAGAAGTTTGGAACCACCAAGACTCTTCCTAGAGCTGGCCGCCCGGCCAAACTGAGCAATCGGGGGAGAAGGGCCTTAGTCAGGGAGGTGACCAAGAACCCAATGGTCACTCTGACAGAGCGCCAGAGTTCCTCTGTGGAGATGGGAGAACCTTCCAGAAGGACAACCATCTCTGCAGCTCTCCACCAATCAGGCCTTTATGGTAGAGTGACCGAACATCTCTGGAGAGACCTGAAAATAGCTGTGCAGCGACGCTCCCCATCCAACCTGACAGAGCTTGAGAGGATCTGCAGAGAATAATGGGAGAAACTCCCCAAATACAGGTGTACAAAGCCTGTAGCTTCATACCCAAGAAGACTTGAGGATGTAATCGCTGCCAAAGGTTCTTCAACAAAGTAATGTGTAAAGGGTCTGAATAATTATGTAAATGTAATTTGAGTGAGAAGAAAAATATATAGTGTGCAAAGCTGTCATCAAGGCAAAGGGTGGCTACTTTGAAGAATCTAAAATATATTTTGATTTGTTTAACACTTTTTTGGTTACTACATGATTCTATGTGTGTTATTTCATAGTTTTGATGTCTTCACTATTATTCTACAATGTAGAAAATAGAAAAAATAAAGGAAAACCCTTGAATGAGTAGGTGTGTCCAAACTTTTGACTGGTACTGTATTTGTATGTGTATTTGGAAAGTATTCAGACCCCTTGACTTTTTCCACATTCTGTTACAGCCCATTTCTAAATTTTATTCCATCGATCTACATACAATACCCCATAATGGCAAAGCAAAAATATGGATTTTAGAAATGTTTGCAAATGTATTAAATAAAAAACTGAAATATCCATAGTATTTAGACCCTTTACTCAGTACTTTGTTGAAGCACCTTTGGCAGCGATTACAGCCTAGAGTCTTCTTGGGTATGACGCTACAAGCTTGGCACACCTGTATTTGGGGAGTTTCTCCCATTCTTCTCTGCAGATCCTCTCAAGCTCTGTCAGGTTGGATGGGGAGCGTCACTGCACAGCTATTTTCAGGTCTCTCCAGAGATGTTTGATCTGGTTCAAGTCCGGGCTCTGGCTGGGCCACTCAAGGACATTCAGAGACTTGTCCCGAAGCCACTCCTGTGTTGTCTTGGCTGTGTGCTTAGGGTCGTTGTCCTGTTGGAAGGTGAACCTTCGCCCCAGTCTGAGGTCCTGAGCGCTCTGGAGCAGGTTTTCATCAAGGATCTCTCTGTACTTTGCTCCGTTCATCTTTCCCTCAATTCATCTGCCGCTGAAAAACTCTAGAGGACCTCTAGAGCTCTGTCAGAGTGATCATCGGGTTCTTAGTCACCTCCTAGACCAAGGCCCTTCTCCCCCGATTGCTCAGTTTGCCCGGGCAGCCAGCTTTAATAAGATTGGTGGTGGTTCCAAACTTCCTCCATTTAAGAATGATGGAGGCCACTGTGTTCTTGGGGACCTTCAATGCTGCTGACATTTTTTGGTACCCTTCCCCAGATCTGTGCCTCGACAGAATCCTGTCTCGGAGCTCTACGGACAAGTCCTTCGGCCTCATGGCTTGGTTTTTACTCTGACATGCACTATGAACTGTGGGACCTTATATAGACAGGTGTCTGCCTTTCCAAATAATATCCAATCAATTGAATTTACCACAGGTGGACTCCAATCACGTTCTAAAAACATCTCAAGGATGATCAATGGAAACAGGATGCACCTGAGCTCAATTTTGAGTCTCATAGCAAAGGGTCTGAATACTTATGTAAATGAGGTTTGTTTATTTTTAATACATTTGCAAACATTTAAAAAAATGTTTGCAAAGTTAATATGAAGAGGGAAAAGTAGCCGACAGCCGGTGCCAATGGAAATCACTGATCATACTGGATACACCACCGGATCATACTGGATACACCACCGTATCGTACTGGATACACCACCGGATCATACTGGATACACCACCGTATCGTACTGGATACACCACCGGATCATACTGGATACACCACCGTATCATACTGGATACACCACCGTATCGTACTGGATACACCACCGTATCGTACTGGATACACCACCGTATCATACTGGATACACCACCGTATCGTACTGGATACACCACCGGATCATACTGGATACACCACCGTATCGTACTGGATACACCACCGGATCATACTGGATACACCACCGTATCATACTGGATACACCACCGGATCATACTGGATACACCACCGTATCATACTGGATACACCACCGGATCGTACTGGATACACCACCGGATCGTACTGGATACACCACCGTATCGTACTGGATACACCACCGGATCATACTGGATACACCACCGTATCATACTGGATACACCACCGGATCATACTGGATACACCACCGTATCATACTGGATACACCACCGTATCATACTGGATACACCACCGGATCATACTGGATACACCACCGGATCATACTGGATACACCACCGGATCGTACTGGATACACCACCGTATCATACTGGATACACCACCGTATCATACTGGATACACCACCGTATCGTACTGGATACACCACCGTATCATACTGGATACACCACCGTATCGTACTGGATACACCACCGTATCATACTGGATACACCACCGTATCATACTGGATACACCACCGGATCATACTGGATACACCACCGTATCGTACTGGATACACCACCGGATCATACTGGATACACCACCGTATCATACTGGATACACCACCGTATCGTACTGGATACACCACCGTATCATACTGGATACACCACCGGATCATACTGGATACACCACCGTATCATACTGGATACACCACCGTATCATACTGGATACACCACCGGATCATACTGGATACACCACCGGATCATACTGGATACACCACCGGATCGTACTGGATACACCACCGTATCATACTGGATACACCACCGTATCGTACTGGATACACCACCGTATCGTACTGGATACACCACCGGATCATACTGGATACACCACCGGATCATACTGGATACACCACCGTATCGTACTGGATACACCACCGGATCATACTGGATACACCACCGTATCATACTGGATACACCACCGTATCGTACTGGATACACCACCGTATCATACTGGATACACCACCGGATCATACTGGATACACCACCGTATCATACTGGATACACCACCGTATCGTACTGGATACACCACCGTATCATACTGGATACACCACCGGATCATACTGGATACACCACCGTATCGTACTGGATACACCACCGTATCGTACTGGATACACCACCGTATCGTACTGGATACACCACCGGATCATACTGGATACACCACCGGATCATACTGGATACACCACCGGATCGTACTGGATACACCACCGTATCGTACTGGATACACCACCGTATCGTACTGGATACACCACCGGATCATACTGGATACACCACCGGATCATACTGGATACACCACCGGATCATACTGGATACACCACCGGATCATACTGGATACACCACCGGATCATACTGGATACACCACCGGATCATACTGGATACACCACCGGATCATACTGGATACACCACCGGATCATACTGGATACACCACCGGATCGTACTGGATACACCACCGTATCGTACTGGATACACCACCGTATCGTACTGGATACACCACCGTATCGTACTGGATACACCACCGTATCGTACTGGATACACCACCGTATCGTACTGGATACACCACCGTATCGTACTGGATACACCACCGGATCGTACTGGATACACCACCGGATCGTACTGGATACACCACCGGATCGTACTGGATACACCACGGATCGTACTGGATACACCACCGTATCGTACTGGATACACCACCGTATCGTACTGGATACACCACCGTATCGTACTGGATACACCACCGTATCGTACGGATACACCACCGTATCGTACTGGATACACCACCGTATCGTACTGGATACACCACCGTATCGTACTGGATACACCACCGTATCGTACTGGATACACCACCGTATCGTACTGGATACACCACCGTATCGTACTGGATACACCACCGTATCGTACTGGATACACCACCGTATCGTACTGGATACACCACCGTATCGTACTGGATACACCACCGTATCGTACTGGATACACCACCGTATCGTACTGGATACACCACCGTATCATACTGGATACACCACCGTATCATACTGGATACACCACCGTATCGTACTGGATACACCACCGTATCGTACTGGATACACCACCGTATCATACTGGATACACCACCGTATCATACTGGATACACCACCGTATCGTACTGGATACACCACCGTATCGTACCTGACACACAACATAACAGATTAATAACTCACCTTCTGTTTGTCACCAACTTTGCGTTTCTTCTTGGGTTGCTGGTCCTCGTCGGTCTCCTCTGGAGCTTGTTTAGGCAGCTGCTTCTGAGGACTCTTCTTCCCTGGAAACAAGTTAGAGAACAGATAGTGATGAAACTCCAACAGACAGACATTCACCTGATCAGTAGATGCTCTGTGGAACTAATGGCTGAGTTGGTATCAACAGCAGCTTTTCACCTTTAGGTTCTGCCTTTAGCTCTTCTTTAATGGGACAGGTCTTGGTTTTGGAACCATTCTTAGCTATGAGGAAAACAGACATGTTAGCTGACAAGTGACACATTTTACAAAGCTAAATAATACCCTACCTATAACTGACGACACATTGATTAACTGACGATATGTTGATATGACCCTAACTTACCTATAGGTGCATGGATGTTGGTAGTCAAGGCAACCCCTTTGCACCTCTTCCTCCCCGTCTTGGCAGGTAGTTGAGGTTTCAGTTTGGACTTCTTCTGTTTCTGCTTGTGAGGTTCAAGTAGTTCAGTCTCTGAGCTGGGGGAGACGAGATCCTACAAACAACAACTTCCTCAAAATAAGGACACCAGAAAGTGACTGTTTTCACTCTTGAAACTCAATACATTTCACCTGTAAATAACATAGTATATAGACCATGAACATTATTCTAGTTTATCCAGACCTGTGTTTGTCCTTTATGGGAGACCAGGACGTTAGTCTTCTTAGTCGTTGAAGTGGTCTGCTTCCGTTTCCCTCCTTTCTCGGTTCCGTCTGTAGTTCTGGGGCTGCTGCTCTTCTTCTTCCCCAGTGAAGTGCTGCGGTCTGTGGGGGTGGGCTGGACTGGGGGTCTGGCTGGGCTGGGAGGCAGGAGGGTCAGCCTGGATGGTTCCTGCTCATGGTCCGGTGCTTGGGCCTGTGTCTGCTCTAGTCCAGGGTTGGGGTCTGGGCCAGCCTCAGCAGGGTTGGGGTCTGGGCCAGCCTCAGCAGGGTTGGGGTCTGGGCCAGCCTCAGCAGGGTGGGGTCTGGGCCAGCCTCAGCAGGGTTGGGGTCTGGGCCTGCCTCAGCAGGGTTGGGGTCTGGGCCAGCCTCAGCAGGGTTGGGGTCTGGGCCAGCCTCAGCAGGGTTGGGGTCTGGGCCAGCCTCAGCAGGGTTGGGGTCTGGGCCAGCCTCAGCAGGGTTGGGGTCTGGGCCAGCCTCAGCAGGGTTGGGGTCTGGGCCAGCCTCAGCAGGGTTGGGGTCTGGGCCAGCCTCAGCAGGGTTGGGGTCTGGGCCAGCCTCAGCAGGGTTGGGGTCTGGGCCAGCCTCAGCAGGGTTGGGGTCTGGGCCAGCCTCAGCAGGGTTGGGGTCTGGGCCAGCCTCAGCAGGGTTGGGGTCTGGGCCAGCCTCAGCAGGGTTGGGGTCTGGGCCAGCCTCAGCAGGGTTGGGGCCAGCAGGGTTGGGGTTTGGGCCAGGCTCAGCCAGCAGGCGGGGGTTGAGGTGTGGTCCGTCAGTATCGTAGGTAAAGGTGTACTTGGCCAGGCGTTCATCCAGGGCCAGGCTGGCAGCTTCCTTGGCCTGAGTGATGCCTACCACCCACTGGGCATGGAGCTTCCTGGGCACGGAAGAAGTGGTACTCTGGGGACAGAGGAGAGCAGAACTCAGAACTACTAGTAGAGGACATTAGAGCTCAGATTGACAGTAGAGCTCAGATTGACAGTAGAGCTCAGATTGACAGTAGAGCTCAGATTGACAGTAGAGCTCAGATTGACAGTAGAGCTCAGATTGACAGTAGAGCTCAGATTGACAGTAGAGCTCAGATTGACAGTAGAGCTCAGATTGACAGTAGAGCTCAGATTGACAGTAGAGCTCAGAGGACAGTGATGACATTACTAGAAAAGGTAAATGTCCTGAAGAAAACTTGAGTGATTGGGTGGGGGTTTAAGGTGACTGTACCTTTCTGTGGACGACCCGGGAGGATGGTTGTTTGTTGCCATGGCAGAGCTCAACATATTGCTCCTCCCCCCTGAATGACACCATGTTCTTCTCAAAGATGTAGCCCCTCTCCGGGGTGTTCCCAAAATACTGAACGTGGTACAGGATGCCAGACGTATGGCTGTTAATTGCTGAAATAAAGTAACATTAAAAACATTAGCTGATGAATGTTAGAACTTCCATGCAAAAAGATTCCACTGGTTACTATTGCCATCTAAAACATGGTTTCTAACTTCTCTTTTCAATCTAACCAAACCGTGTGTGTCTAAGGACTGGGCAGGTAGTCTGTTCTGTTATGTGTTCTTACCTTTGTGTTTGAGGTGTGTGTTGAGTTCTGGGTCGGTAGAGACCATGCAGGGCCACCAGGGGTATCCTGACACCTTGGTCCACACCACATCACCCACAGAGAACACTGCATGGACCGGGAGCTCCTCCTGAGGACGGGCCTGCTGGATCTGAGAGGAACAGCATGCTGTCAGAAACCTCAATATCAACACTGAGGATCAGGAGGACTCTCAGAAACAAGGACTCACAAGGAGTGAATGATAAGAGTTCTATTGAATCACAAAGACTGACATTCTCTATGATCAACCTTTCATTTAGTCAGGGTCCAGCCCATAGAGATACAACAGTTGTTTTATCTCAATGATTTGGCCTTCTGTGTATTGAACTATAGAACCCACCCCCACCTGTTGTGGTGCAGCAGTGCCCTCCTCTGGCAGACTGGCAGATGACACCACCTCCACAGGAACAGGAACAGGAACAGGGTTAGAGGCAGGTTTGGGTTTGATGAGTCTTCTCTTCCTGCTGGCTGGAGCCAGGAGGCCCTCAGTAGGCAGGTTGGGCCCCTCTCCACAGAATGTCTCGAAGCGCGCCGGCTTCCCCTTGGCCACCATCTTGGTGATCTTCAGTTTAATTTCAGGGGAGGTGGCCTTCCTCTGGGGGCTGGGGTGGGAGGAGGGGGCCTCAGCACCCTTCAGGATGGGGGGCTCGGGGGGGCACAGCTTGGTCAGCTTGTCCTGGTCTCCGTTCAGCATGCGGGACGTCAGGTCCTTCAGCCTCTCATGGCTATGAACATGGGAGGCCATCTTGTTTAGAACACTGTCCTGGAGCGTCACGGCCAGCTGGGCAGCTGCCTTGTCCATCAGCAGGGCCGGGTCTGCCCCCAGGTCCCCCCCACCCCGACCCTTCCTCCCCCCCAGGGGCTCAGACGGCTGCTTCATGCTGACTGGGTTCAGGGCCTCTGGCATCGAGGGCAGAGACCTCCCCTTACTAGTACTGTCCATCCCAGACCGTCCCTTACTGTCCATCCCATCCAACTCCAGCCTCACCCAGCTACAGCACAGAGAGGGAAGGAGAGAAATCATTAATGACTCTTTATGGTCCAAAGCCCAAGGACCTTCCAAACACACTTCCACTTTAAAGTCTGATTCAATACGCATCAGTCTGATTACTACATTACACATCATGATGTTATTCTAGTAACTAGACAATCAAAATCATATTTACACTAACTCTTAATAAAATGGAAATACATGAGGCATTCTAAATTTCACATTACATATTTTAAGGCAGCAATTCATATTTTAAAAAGTGTGTATTGTCAGACTAATGGAATAGTCAGGACTTTTTCTAAGAGTCAAGAATGACAATACTGAGCATGCCAAAACAATTTGCAACAAGCTTGATCTACAGGTGAAAAACAACATTCACAACTGCACCTGTTCTGAGTGGTTTAGCAATGCATGGTGAGCTGCACCTGTTCTGAGTGGTTTAGCAATGCATGTTGAGCTAGGGTGTGCTGCACCTGTTCTGAGTGGTTTAGCAATGCATGGTGAACTAGGGTGATCTGGACCTGTTCTGAGTGGTTTAGCAATGCATGGTGAACTAGCCTAACCCTAACCCTAACCCAATGCATGGTGATCTGGACCTGTTCTGAGTGGTTTAGCAATGCATGGTGAACTACCCTAACCCTAACCCTAACCCAATGCATGGTGAACTAGCCTAACCCTAACCCTAACCCAATGCATGGTGAACTAGCCTAACCCTAACCCTAACCCAATGCATGGTGAACTAGCCTAACCCTAACCCTAACCCAATGCATGGTGAACTAGCCTAACCCTAACCCTAACCCTAACCCAATGCATGGTGAACTACCCTAACCCTAACCCTAACCCAATGCATGGTGAACTAGCCTAACCCTAACCCTTACCCAATGCATGGTGAACTAGCCTAACCCTAACCCTAACCCAATGCATGGTGAACTAGCCTAACCCTAACCCTAACCCAATGCATGGTGAACTACCCTAACCCTAACCCTAACCCTAACCCAATGCATGGTGAACTACCCTAACCCTAACCCTAACCCAATGCATGGTGAACTAGCCTAACCCTAACCCAATGCATGGTGATCTAGACTTTCTGAGGGTTTAGCAATGCATGGTGAACTACCCTAACCCTAACCCTAACCCTAACCCAATGCATGGTGAACTAGCCTAACCCTAACCCTAACCCAATGCATGGTGAACTAGCCTAACCCTAACCCAATGCATGGTGAACTAGCCTAACCCTAACCCAATGCATGGTGAACTACCCTAACCCTAACCCAATGCATGGTGAACTACCCTAACCCTAACCCTAACCCAATGCATGGTGAACTAGCCTAACCCTAACCCAATGCATGGTGATCTGGACCTGTTCTGAGTGGTTTAGCAATGCATGGTGAACTACCCTAACCCTAACCCTAACCCTAACCCAATGCATGGTGAACTACCCTAACCCTAACCCTAACCCAATGCATGGTGAACTAGCCTAACCCTAACCCAATGCATGGTGAACTAGCCTAACCCTAACCCAATGCATGGTGAACTACCCTAACCCTAACCCAATGCATGGTGAACTACCCTAACCCTAACCCAATGCATGGTGAACTAGCCTAACCCTAACCCAATGCATGGTGAACTAGCCTAACCCTAACCCTGGTGAACTAGCCTAACCCTAACCCAATGCATGGTGAACTAGCCTAACCCTAACCCTAACCCAATGCATGGTGAACTAGCCTAACCCTAACCCTAACCCAATGCATGGTGAACTAGCCTAACCCTAACCCAATGCATGGTGAACTAGCCTAACCCTAACCCTAACCCAATGCATGGTGAACTAGCCTAACCCTAACCCAATGCATGGTGAACTACCCTAACCCTAACCCAATGCATGGTGAACTAGCCTAACCCTAACCCAATGCATGGTGAACTAGCCTAACCCTAACCCAATGCATGGTGAACTACCCTAACCCTAACCCAATGCATGGTGAACTAGCCTAACCCTAACCCTAACCCAATGCATGGTGAACTAGCCTAACCCTAACCCTAACCCAATGCATGGTGAACTAGCCTAACCCTAACCCTAACCCAATGCATGGTGAACTAGCCTAAGCCTAACCCTAACCCATGCATGGTGAAACTAGCCTAACCCTAACCCTAACCCTGGTGAACTAGCCTAACCCTAACCCTAACCCAATGCATGGTGAACTAGCCTAACCCTAACCCTAACCCTAACCCTGGTGAACTAGCCTAACCCTAACCCTAACCCTAACCCAATGCATGGTGAACTAGCCTAACCCTAACCCTAACCCAATGCATGGTGAACTAGCCTAACCCTAACCCTAACCCTAACCCTGGTGAACTAGCCTAACCCTAACCCTAACCCGGGTGATGCAGAAAGTCTAACTCAAAACAATAGTGCAACAAACAAATAACTAACTAGTCAGTGAAAACGCACAGGCGGATACATCAAACACTGGACTGATAGAGCTGATAAAGCCGCGTCGTTAACGCGCTAAGATCGCTCCACATTCAAATCTGAAGTGTAAATGAGCTAGTAGTACAGTTAGCTATCTTGATAACATGCTGACCAACTACAGCTAGTAGTTGGTCATCTGATGCGCGCCGAGTGGACACTTTGTTACAGTATATGATGTCAAATGTAGCAATCAGAAAACTTAACAACTAGCTAATCGCTCTACAGTAGTTGGCTTGCTTAATACTGCAATGTCCCAACATTGAATGAATGGCTAGTCCAGGCAAGGACCAGCTAGCTCGCTAACCAAATGCAATGTATAACAGTAACGCAGCCAACATCGCCGACCGGGAAAAGCCGCGGAAACATGAGTTAACATATTTCACCAACAGAAAAAATTTAACATTGCCAACCACATCACAGATGATGAATAAATAAAAGTGAATAATACAAATAAAATGAAAAGTCTCACTCTTTAGGAATCTGGTAACAGATTTCCCATTTTGAGATACTGACGCGACAACAATAACTAATTAGTTAGCTACAGTTAGCTAACTGGTATAACTTAGCTAGGATCTCAGGGTAATGGCCAAGGTTAGTTGCAGCTAGCTAAAGTAGCGTCAACTAAACCACGGCATATGAAAAATACAGAATGACAGTGTTCTGTTAGCTACTTCACATAATGAAATGAATCCGCAAATGATTTAAATTAACCGACGCTCAATGACACTAGCTTCCGAGTTAACGTTAGTTAGCTACAGTAGCTATCTAGCCACCATTCAGTTAGCTGGCTAGCGACGTGCCAACTTGCCTGACATGCGCAGCTACAGCTAGTTAGCTAGCTAACGTTACATTGCTAGCTAACTCGCTATGTTAGAAGATACAAGTTTATTAAAATATGACCACACTCGCCTTTTCCTCACATAATTATAGTAATTTGTTAAATTACCTGTTGAATTTCTCGAATAGTTATCAAATTTGAAAATAGTATGTTTGAATCATCTTGAAAACGCCGATTTCATTCAACTTGAATCAAAGCTTGCGGGAAACTCTTCTCCCAATCAGCGCGAAAAATACTCACTTCCGATTGGTTGGGAGCAGTGACGAGTTTAACCTGCCCTTTCAAAAATGTCTGTGCTATCCGAGATCCTTGGGACGTCCCAGCTATCTGAGATCCTTGGGACGTCCCTACCTTCTTCTTCTGTGGGTTTTATGGCGGACTACAACCTACAAAGGTGTATTGCCGCCACCAACTGGACGGGTTAAAACCTAAACAATATCAAAAATAAAAATCCATACGTAATAGGGAAACTAACTTAATCCACCCAAATAAAAATAGTACATTGCCAAAACAAACAAAACTCCCTCTTCTTCCTTCTTTTAGGGTACCCATCCGTAAACATGGGTACCCTCATAGATATCATCCTGACTAACATACCCTCTAAATACACCTCAGCTGTCTTCAACCAGGATCTCAGCGATCACTGCCTTATTGCCTGCGTCCGTAACGGGTCCGCGGTCAAACGACCACCCCTCATCACTGTCAAACGCTCCCTAAAACACTTTAGCGAGCATGCCTTCCTAATTGACCTGGCCCAGGTATCCTGGATGGATATAGATCTCATTCCGTCAGTAGAGGATGCCTGGTTGTTCCTTAAAAGTAATTTCCTCTCAATCTTAAATAAACATGCCCCATTCAAAAAATACAGAACTAAGAACCGATATAGCCCCTGGTTCTCCTCAGACTTAACTGCCCTTGACCAGCACAAAAACATCCTGTGGCGTACAGCATTAGCATCAA